TTAAGGTAATTGTTTTTTACAGTGCAACTTGAATTAGTCAATATTTTGTAACTTTGGAAATTTATTTTTTATTTCACAAAAATAACACCATTAATTAAGTAAAATAATTTTTGAATTGGAATAATTCGGAAGCACATTTTTTCCTTAATTTGTTGAACAAATGCGTGAAACGTAAGTTTAAATATTTATTCTATTGCCCGAACTTTAATATTCGGGTATTAGAGTAATTAAGTTTTATCAAAATTCTTGAACTAAAATTTAATAAATGCTACTGTTTATACTTTTTATGAACGAACAAGTAAAATTTTGTTTTTAACAACATAATATACGAATATGTATGCACATATGTATGTATATGCCTGATCATATATTTTTATAAGTACATATGTATGTATTAATATATTTTATATACATATGTGTATATATTTTTATAAGTACGGAAAAATATAGACTAAGGAATTGAGTTTTGCATGCTTGTCGAAATACGTATATAATACATCTGTATGCTAAAATCTAAATATATGTGTATATATCTATGTTATTTAAAGATGTCTAAGATGTACTATAATATTTGGGAGGAAGAAATGACAAAAAATGAGATGTATGACAAAAAACGCCCTGTTAGCACATAATAAAGTTAGTCATCTCTTGGTCATAAAATTGTATTGTTGTTTTATTCTTTTGCTTTTTTTAAAGTTCTCCTTATTTCTTTGTTTTAGTTTTTTACTGAGCAAGTCTTCAGTTTCTTACTATACGACGACATCATGTTTTTTTCCCCATGTTTTTTTTTATTAAATTTAAAAAAAAAAAATATATAAATTAGAAATTTAACAGTTGTTCGAAATGCTACTAAGGTTCTAGAACTAAGGCTTAATAATTAATCATTCATTATAGGTAAGGGGTAAATAAGAATATAGAGTAGGCTAAATCTTTATTGTTACTCTAATGATAAAGGCCTACTTATATGCCGTTTAACTTTAAGTAAAAAAGCAAAATTACCATGTTTTAAATATTCTATATTTATTTCAAGTAGGTAGAAACAAGGTAAGTAGAAAACAAAAGTATATCTAGGCATCTTAAACAATTCAAATTTGCAATTTCTGGTTTAATTTGTCCGCAAAATTTCAAAATTCTGTTTGCAAATGGTAAACTTAAATTGTAAACTTTTGTAAAAATTAATTTTCACGAAAAATTTTCATTTAGAACCAAAACTTACACTTGGGTATTATAAACCTACTATGATCTTGGTAAGAGCATATATTTTAATTATTAAAGTTTAAGCATTTCTTTTATATTTTTACAGAGTAAAAACAAACAAAACTTTTTTGTTTTTATTTTAAACGAATGCAATATTTTTTTTACAAAAATTGCACTTACCAAAAAACAAAATAAAACTGCAAAAGTTCTGGAACTAAACACCCCTTTAAACTACAATATAGAATTTTTGAATTTTTTTTTTAAATTTTTATTACCACAAACAATGAGAGAAAAAAAATAAGACAAAAACAAATTATCTAGAAAAAACGTAGAAAAATTTGTATATTTGGACTTTCATTTGCACGTCTGTATGTATTTGTATAAATTGTAAATTGCATAATAAACATAGGAATGGAGAACTATAGAAAGGACCAAAAATATTTACATAAACAGAACAAGGAAAAACCACCCATAGTAATTTTTAATATTTCGCCTTTCTGAATATTAAAAATATTAAAAAGTTTTTGAAATTTGTTTTTAACTTGTATCAGTTTTGTTTTTATTTTTTTCTTCTCTTTCAATAAAAAAATATACAATTTTTTTATTTTCTGAATTTTAAAATTTCGCCAGAGAAATTTCTTTAATACTCCTTTATTCCGGAAATTTCTTTCTTCTGAACTAAATTCTAAGATCCTAAAAACTAAGATTCTGAACTAAAACATATAAAGCAACGTACCTTTAAACCTCCCATAGAGAAGGTTACATATAGCTTTCGAATTTGAGTAAAAAATAAAGTCTGTGCATATTCTTTTAAAAAGGATTTCAGAAAAATAAAAAATTATTTTTTTTTTCTACTCAAATTCACCTTTCTACAGTGATAGACAATATAATTAATTACCAATATAAGCTAATTCATACTATAGTATTGAAACAAATGTGACAAATTAGAAAAATTTAAAATTTGTTATATAAATTTAAGGTTTAACAAGGTTCTGCAAAGTTCTAAATTTTAATTACAAAAAAAAAAATCGAATGAAATTTTAATATGACTCCTACTTTCTAGGATGCAAAAAGTTTTTTATAATTTTCATTAATTTTATGTGCGTTTTAATTGAATAAATAGAACCCAACCAAAAAGTTTAATGTTCTAAATATTCTATTAAGATTTCCCAAAATCAATCTCTTTAAAAAACTAATTTTTTCCTTGAAATGTAAATTTCCAAACTTAATTAATCTAAGTTTATAGTAGATTTTATCAATTTTTAACAACATACCTTTAAGAACATCTTTGAAGGTAAAAGTTCTAGCATTAAAAAAAATAATTTTATTAAGCCTTATTTAATAAAAATAATTTTAAATTCCACAATACTTATTCTCTTTTTTTACATTCTACCCAAGAATGTAAAAAATTTATAAAACTCAAAGGCAAATTAATATGAGTCTCTTATCAATTATTCAGTAAAATTGTATATGTTCTTGTGGCCTACCTACTATGTAAAAATGCTAAAGTCGCAAATTAGCATAAGTTGATGCGCGATTTGCAAGTTGTTTGGTGCTATGTAACAAAATCGCATGGCAAAATTTTAAACTAGCAGCATTTCTAAAATTTTTTGTTTTTGAAATTTCTGACAGCTTTTTCACTTTGTAAAGTAGTAAATTTAAAGTAAGCATTATTTTAAAATAGCCATACATTTAAATGTATATATATGTACATATGTATAATATTAAGGAGGCGATTATTGTTAATTTTTTAAACAAATATGGATAGCAAGACTTTTATGAAGGTTAAGATTTAAATATTGTTCTTGCTCAGCAAACCATTTTACTTATTATAACCGAAGTTTGTGAGCCTGCAGATGAAAAGTTCAGTCCCATAAAAATAAAACTGGAAAGGAGCAAAGTCGACAAAAGAGAAGCGAAACAAATTTGGCATAGTGGTATTTTCTTAAGTCGGAATAGTTTTGCATTTTATTTTAACCTATAATTATAATTATTAATTGCAAAAATTTAGTTAATTGCAGTAAATTTGAAATGCAAGGTTCTTTAATTTAATAAAGCAAATGTAACACTTATTTTGTATAAATTAATAAAAAGTATGCGAAAGGAGCATTCTGCAGTACCACTTTTGCTACTTTCCCATACGCCAATTTGCGATATTCGATTAACATAGTGTCAAAATTTAAAATGCAAGAATCGTTTAGCGAAAGTAGCACTACATAGTAGGCCACATTATGAAAACCAGAAAAAGTACAATAACAATTCGAAAGTAAAATAATTAGAAGTACCTATGTAGATATGCATGATGCAAAACTGGCCTAAATGTTATTATTTGTCAGAATATAATTATTATTAATTTATAAATTTTTATAAAATTTTTTAAACAAATAACCGTACAAAAATTCCTAATATAACGCAACCTCTTATTACCTTGTAGCAATTTACCTACTCATGTACAAATTCATTTATTGTGCGATAATTTATTTTTTTTCACATTTGAACTCCCCTATAATAATGTGCATACAATTAGTAAATTGTAGCTTAGGCAAACATCAGGCATTAGTTTTTTTTGGAATCTCCTATAGTATAATTTCATTTACAATTCTTAAAACATTATAGGAAGGATTACTGTATATATCTACTTACCTCACACCGGGATTTTTTTCTACTATAGATTGTTATGAAGAAAAGCGTTGAAATTTAATTTATAAAACTAATTTAATAATATTAATAGCGAAAATTTATGTACGTATACATGTAAGTTTTAAATGCATTTGCCTACATACATACTCGTGTACCTGCATACATTTTCTTTTGGTACGCTAATAAAAGATAAGTGGACAAAAATGATTAAAATTTACGATTATGAAGCAAACTTCAGTTTATTCACCCCAAATCAAAATACATAGTTTACTTATCTAACACATAATAACAAACAACGTAATAAATATGTTTTCGTTATTTTTCCTATAAACACATGCTAAATTATAGCAATGTTTTTTCCTCAAAGTTAAAATTTTTATCAATATGATAAAATTTAAACAATATTTTATTCCTCCCCTTTAATGTAGAAAAGCAAAAATAAGAAAATTACTTGAATTGTTATACAAATGCAAGGTTAAAAAAAAAATTTCGTAGTTTGTTTACAATTGGTGTATATTATATACGTAATATGGTATTCAAATACATATATATATATATTTTTTATTCGTACTTCACTCCTGAGAGGAGCATAGGACTGGTACACGATATTGACGAGCCTACCGTAGTTTTATATTAAATATTTAAGGTCATCGATATTTACTATTTTATTTTGCTGGTATTTTTAATATTGGATATTATTAAAATATGGCAATTAGTTAATATTTGTAAAAAGCTATATAATATTGAATATAATTTTTACAGTGCCCTGACTAGGCTTTGAATACATATATACATACTTACATTATATTTATATATTATATCCATACATAGAGACACATTGTATTATTTTTTTAGAGATTGCTTAAACTACCCTAAGTATGTAAATATTACATAGATATGTAATATTTACATATAAAGTATGTAAATATTACATAGATAATACACAGATCCGGATGCACTTCTTTATTAGCCTGAAAACAGGGTTTCACAATTCAAACTTTGAATAACAAGGATATGCTATAGAGAATTGTATATTCTAGCAGTACTTTAAGTTGGAATCAATGCACTAACATTATTTTTCTTTCATTATTCTCACAAAGAAATAAGAAATTACAATTTTAAATAATTTGGAAATAAAATAAATTTTCATTTAGAGTTTTATTTCTTTTTTCTTTATATTTTATCAAGTAAAAAATTATTTATAAATCCACGCAAAAATATAAATTTTACAACTTACAATTTTCCATAGATCCATTATACACCCACTTATTATATTGCATCAATAGTAATTATGCGGTGTACAACAGAGGAAATTTTTATAAATATATAACAACCTATTTGTAATATTTGTTATTAGTGGAACCGGAAGTTTTTTCATTTGTTTCGTCATCTGAAGAAAATAAATCATTATCAATTTCATCATCTGAAGAAGATTCGTTTTCATCATCAGAATCATCTGAGTTCGTTAAATGAATATCCGATATTAATTCTTTTAAAAGTTCTGTTTCGATTTCAAGCAATTGTAATCGTAGGCTTTTTTTTGATACTCTCAAAAAAGAATTTTTCAAATTTTTTGCCAAAAATTTGAAATTGTCTGGTGTCGCAACTGTATTCACATATATTATATAATCTTCAATGAAATACTTATTTAAAAGTTGCCTACTATCTTCACATTCCAAAAACGAATAATACGTTAATATTAATTGCTTAAGAATCCATTTGAAACCTTTTTGTAAAGCGTGAATAGCATCTTCGACACAAAGTCTACCCAAATCATAATTGCGATATAAAGGATATATTAAAGACCTTCTACAAAATATTTCAATTGCACTTTCCAAATTCAATGTTGGTTCAAAATAACTTAATGCAGGAGAAAGAATTGTTCTCGTCCATGCACTTTCACAATTTTGTTCGCCACCATTTGTTCTAAATAAGAAAAAAAACTTATAATCATGAAGCTTATGAAAATTTATACAAAATTACCTGACATCGTAACAAATTGCAAGTAAAATTCCTATTAATTCATTATCGATTCTTTGGCGGTTATGTTCATTAAAACAAAATGATGATTTGGAGCATATAGTCTTTAAGGTATATTCTTCTTTTGAACTTAAATTTGAATCTAAAATAAAAATTTTCAATTTCTTTAGTTTTTCAAATATGGTTATAAATAGTTCAAAAATATTTACCATTTAAATTAAAAGTATAATTCATAGGGTTTTCATGACCATCAGGTACTTGTAATTCAATAAAATTTAATTTATATTGGTCTTGAGAAAAATCTTTGTATTCATCACGTTCTCTTTTACAAAAGCGATCAATAGCACTTTTATGTGAAGGGTTTCTTATTTGGCAAATTGGTTTCAAATCAGTCTACAATTAGAAAAAAATATTTTGAGACAAATTTTTTTTTAAATGTATTAATAAGTACTTTAAGCATAGTAGTATCTTCGAAATAGTTTCCATTAAAGCCATAGTTATATGAAGTTTCTATTGGTGTTTCAACACCGTCTACCTTTAAAATGCAGGTGTCAGTAATTTTTTTCATTTTTAAAATATCAAAAGTGTCTCCATTATTATCGTATACATATTTTTTATCTGGAACTTTTTCTTTTTTATCGCTCGGAAGACAAGGAATTTCAAAAGAAATATCTGAAGCACTTCTATTATAGTTTATTATAAGGCTTTTCAAATCTTTTACATCAAATTTATTGGAACATTTTATCCTTTAAAAAAATTATTTTATTATTAAAACATAAAACATAAATTATTTTTTTACACTTACTTTTTGTAAACATTATCCCAGTTAAATAATAAAATGTTCTCATTTATCCATAAATCACAATTAAATTTGGACGTTTTTAATGATTCTTTTTCAATATGTATTTGAATTTCACACATTAAATCTTTTGGAACGCATTCAGTACTATGTAAATAAAACATGGCGATAAATTAAATTTATTTACAAAAACTATTTCTACAGTATATTTAATATTTTCAAACAACCAACAAAGTTATTTTGTAAACAATAATTTTTTTTTCTCTTCTTTCACGTGTCTTGCAAAATTTCACTTTTTGACATTTTCAGTGACAGTTATCAAAAATTATATAACAGCAATGCCAGTATAATAATTATATTCTTTCATCGAAGTTTTTACTCTTAACAAAATAGAGTTTACACTATTATGTCATTTATGCCTTCATGCGTGTCTCTACTGCATAGACATACATATAAAATGTTAAAATATCCGCAAATTCTTTAACGTCAAAATTTTGTTTTCAGTCTGCAAACTGTCTGACGTATAAAACTTTTACGGACAGAAATGTAGTAAACTTTTTACCCGTAATTGACTTTGAATTTTGATCATCCGTAAACGTCAAATCAAAAAAAAATATTTTTTTAGATTTAAAATAATTTTACAGTTACATATTAAAAATTAACAAAAAAAATATTTTTTATATTATTTTTAACGTAATGATAGTCACTCAATACATCAAATTTATTTACTGAATTACTACGTCAGACTGTCTGCATGTAAAAAAAAATCTACAATTTTGACGGTTAATTGACTTTTTTTAAACGTTTAAGAATTTAAACTTTGACTGAAAGTAAAAACGCAGTAGAGTATTCGTAAACTCAGACAACTCAGATTTTGTAAAATTTGACGTTTAAGAATTAGAAAAATTAGATTATCCGATATACTAGATGTATCTACTGTTCGAATAAATTTTAAAAATTAAATATTGACTACGCGTATGAAAAATTTTTTGGTTTTCATTTTTTTCTTGACAAGTCATTATTTTAGATATAATTTTGAAAACATTGTCAAATATAATTAAATTTGAAATTTTTGGAATTGTTGTGTAAAAATGTGAAGTTTTAATTCCATTTTTTTTGTATATAAATATGCATATGTACCTCAGTTCTAAATCTTAAAGTTTTCCTTTATATGACATAAAAATGCTAATTTTTGAAATTTTGAAGTGATTTTCAATTTTAAGAATTTTATAAGAAGAAAATAGTTGCAATAATAGAGAACTTTTCAAATCTCGAGAACTATTTTGATAATATGCTGCCATATTACTATAAAAAACTGGAATTTTTTTAATTAGATGTTTAAATTATGGCAACAATAATATGGTACACATTTATTCATTTCGCGTTACGTTGCTTATAAATTTAATTGCGCATGCTACACGATATGCATTATACGTTAATTTGAAGTGAGCCTTTACGTAAAAGTTATTAAAGAATTATAGAGAAGGAATTTTTAATATGTAGTTTTGTTGTACTCCGAAATGATTTTTGGAAGTTTGAGATTTTGAAATAAAATTACCTGTTTTTCATATTATGTACGATGAAATTAAAATTTTGACAGTTTTACTTTATTGAATTTCATGATTTTTATTTTTACATTTCGGGCATTTTCGTATATTACATCAGAGGTGAACTGATTGAGATTTGTCGAAAAAACCGCGTTGGTTTTTAAAAACAGGATTCTCAGATTACAAAAGTTTTAATTTTGAATCTGATGAGATTCAATCTATGAGTTAAAAAACGAGAACGTCGTTAATTTAAATATCCCTAATTTTGAAAAGTGGTGAACGCCAAACGCAGTTGATTCCCGTTGTTAGCCCAGAACAACAGCGGAACAGCAACATCAGCTCCTCAATATTTTGCATATAATGTTATGCACACATGGAAACAGGTAATGTAAAAAAAAAACTTGCAGCCGTAAATCAGTAGTATAGGACTTAACCGTCAGGGTTAAATTCGCTAAGGCAATTTGCTTGTGTTTTTTAAAATGTGCACATATATGAATTGTTCTGTTTCTGTTATCAACTTAAACGAAACATTCATTGTACTAGCGATGTGATTGTGGTATAGAGAAAGAAAATAATGAACATACTAGTGTATTGATTTATGTTTTTTTTTCGATTTATTTTTTTCGAAAATTTTTTTTTTTCAATTTATGTACACATTTGTGTACATGTATGTATATGTATGTTTGGGTATATGACAGTTTTTTTGATTTTGAACTATATTATCAGAAATTGTATATTTATACCCGTACGAACGTATGTTCGAAGGATACATTTTTACAATTTTTACAATATTAATATATACCTTGACGTTTGTTTAAAAATTTCAATTTAAAGTTCTGTGCAAATCTTAATTTTTAACAAGCGTCGCCACATCATTAAAAACATAGCACTTTTAAACTTACTAACTAGCTCTTTATTGCTCAAAATTATTTAATTGGTTATTTCTGGCAACGTTTAAATGACATGTATAACAAGAGCTAGCTTCGTTTTTTCCATACCCAATTTACTTTTATTTTACGTATTAACTACGTATAAAACGCATTTTGGGAAAGTGTACAAAGTCAAGAGTTTTTATTAAACTTTTTGGAATGTGATTTTGTAAAGTTTACGATGTAAGCCTATTATTGAAGTCACGGATTATGAGAATATCTATTAACTTGAAATTGAGGCAACAGGCCTGAAATTGAATTGCTTCGAAATTTTTCCCGCCGGTATCCCAATTACATGCAATTGCCGGCCAAGTAATGGGTCTGAATGGGTATTAGATTTGTAGTGATCTTGAATAAATATATTTCTTGATAATTCTTGGAGCACTATATCTTTCTTTTATTTTATGAATAAGCTATGGCAGATATAAATTTGAAAAAATTGCACAATTAATAAAATTAATAAATTTTTGGCTTTTATCTAGTCAATTAAGAATTATTTATAATTCTTTTCTATGGAGCACTTTTATCTTCTCAAACAAATTGATTTCTCAAAGCAACGTAACTCTAAGTATTGATTGAAAACGTAATATTTCGTTATTTACCATTACTTCTTTTTAAGTGAACTTTTTTAAATATCGTTTTTTTTAAATATTTATCTCTTATGTAAATATATGTAATATGAAACCTAATACAGATAATTTTTACACATTTTGACATTTATTGAGCCATTTGAATGTTAACAAATTTCGGAATGGAAAAAACAATATTTTCTTTTACCAAATGAGTTCCATATGTTATACTGAAAATAAATTCAGAAGTTTATTTTCTTTTTAGGTGGTATAAAGTGGAATGGTTGCAACGAAATCCAGTCAATTTAATTTGGAAATGTTATATAACGTAGGTACAGATAAAAAGAAAAAAATACAAATCAAAGAAAATGTGGTCTCTAGTATTCAACAAAAGGAAATATCAATCTGGTGACTAACTGAAAATGTTATTCGTTCATTACATTCGATACAGGTGAAAATGGTTAAGAGAGAGTATAAAATAATAAATTTCGTTATATGCTTTATTATAACCAATTTAACTTACGAATTTTCTAATAATATGAGCCGGGAAATATTTTATTGAAAAACGAGCGCATATTATATACCCACGTTTATAATAACAAGCGTAGGTAGATTTAAGAACATAATTATATGTATGTAAGTATGTAATATGACCTGTAAGATTTGTGATATATTTAAACTTACATAATCATATTCCACTTTTTATTTGCTTACTATTTTATATTTGTTTATGTTAAATATATAAACCAACCTCTATAAAAAAGGGTGAGCATTATATTCTGCAAATATTTAGTGAAGGAAGATCAAATCAACAACACAATGAAAAATAAGATGAAACTCCTATTGGAAAATTCCCTTTCAACTTTGTTTTGCTTTTTTTTTCTTTACACAAAAGTCATAAAAGGCAACAGGCAGCCGCACATAAATTCACATATGTTTAAAATTGTTTTGGGAAATCGCATAACGTAAAATGTAGAATTATATTTTGTTTTATTTTATATGAATTTTTCTTCTAAAGCCATAACGGTACATATGCGCACATATTCATATGCATAAAAGCATAAAAATAACATAAAAATTCAAAAGAAAAAGAAGCATTTTTTTAGCTATCCAAAATTGCAAAAAAACTGTAACATTATGAAAAACAAACAACCAGAAATACGAATAAAAAGCAATGAACCTTGTTAACGCAAAGCTCAGTTCTTTTTCCTTCTTCTGCTTTTTATATTTGATAATTTCACATTTTTGTAGCATTATTCAAACCAGAAAAAGAAAGTTATTCCTTTTTCCAATTGATTTTCATAATGATATGCGTATATTCTTAGTATGGTTTATTCTCTGCATCAACAATGATTTAAAATCGAGGTGAATCCGTAACATGAGGTGTATGATTTTCAAAACTGATTGATATCTCTGAAGGTTTTAATAACTCATTTGTTCCTTTTTAACTCATTTGTTCCTTTTACCTGTTATAATTAAACATTGCAATTAGGCTGGTATGACTTTTTTTGTTGCACTACTGCAATTACGTATTATTTTTGTTCAGTCAACGAATTAAAGTTTTGCCGTCAAAAAAGTATGTTCCAAAATTTAGAAGGTTCATGAACTTTATTTGAAAACTAGAACACTGAAAAATGAAATCAAGAAAAGAATCACAGTTTTCCAGCATTACTGTATGTTGCACATGATTCATTTGAAATATCCTCTTTCAACCGGTGAGTTAATCATATGTTAAATTCTCTGATTTCAAAAACCAATAGTTAATTGAATAATCTTAATTTTAAATTTAAAACACACAATCACACAATATAATGCAATTTTATTTTAAAAACGAGAAAAAATAAAGTTGACTTTGTCAACTCTGTTATACCCGTACGAATTTGTTATCCTAAGTGTGAATAGATATGCCATAACTGACTATGGAACAGACTTTTACTTTAAGTTGCCGTGCTACCATAATAATTTATGCAAAATTTCAGTACTTTTTTTCAAAATACTGTGTGTGCCAAACTACTATTGAAGTTGTATGGCAGCTACCAGAAAGAGCCAAGTAATTTTAAGAAATTTTATCAAACACATCGGTCCTACTAATATATTTGCTTGTGTGAAATATCAATATTACAGCTCTTATAGTTTCTGAGATATAGCCAAATAACTTTTGAAGTTGTATGGCAGGTACCAGAAGCAGCCAAGTAATTTCAACGTCTTTTATCAGCACAT